ATTTTGCTTTTTACTACTAGCTCAAACTTTTTCACGTGTATTCACTGCAGTCACAAAAGACTATAATTCTTTAGTCTGTTCAATTATATTACAATATAGGCAATGCTGCACGTGTAACAGATATTTTGGGTGCCTGGAAACTCTCTGGTTACAAATTGCTGGGCTAATGGCATTAAGGCAATGCCAGTCTAACTAGATATGACCTTTAGTTTTTTTTAAGAAACGTAATTGCAAGGTGGTGGGCTAGGAAAGCTATGTCTACCATATACTTCGAGAAGCAATTTTACATGTCCAAAGGATTTGTACTGTCCACAAAACTGAAAAATGTCCAACGTGTTTGCTGCAATGTCAAGTGAGGACACCACGTCGACTTAGATACAACATCAGAGTTTTGAAATACGCTCGGGTATTTTGAACTTGAATAATATTCTCCTTGCTGAGAAGTTTTAGCTTCAGCCATAGCTGCTGAAATATGTCTGCATGAAACTTGAAGTTGTGTCACTACACAGGGAGAATTAAAGATTCATTTAGCTATAGAGAACAAAACAGGGAAATCTTCTTTGTACTATTCAAACAGTTTAACTTGTACTGGTATAGTTAACATACATACCTGTATGACTTATATGCACATCTATATTATGCAGGTTAAATACATAATATGCATATATTGTTATATAAATATACATAGATGCACATATATATGAAAGTATTTAACATTTACTCACATAAATCAGTACTAAATATATATATATATTTGAAAGATGCAGCAAAACCTCTAATGTCAGCCAGAAAAAAGGCCGGTTAAGCTAGAAAAAGTGCTTGTTTTATGAAAAAGTAAAATTGCAATTCACAGCATTTTATGTAATGCTGTACAAATTACCAGATACCAGAGACTGCATTTCTAGACCTGAATAGTAGTAAAAGTTGCAACCAAGGGCAAATATAAAGACACTTGTTTACAATGCAAAGGCTTAGTCAGTACTATAAGCAATATGGCAATCTGCATAGCAGAAGATATAAAGCTTTGTAATGTGATTTTTACTTTACATATCAATTCTTACACACATGAACAAAGTCAACAGCAGCCCCATTAATTTCAATCATTATGAAAAAGGAGGAAATACAGGAAATAAATTGATAAATTAAACAGGGATTAATGCATAACTGACATATTTACACAATCATATGTTTACCTTATTTACTGGGTGGTAACCCTACTTTATAATGACATCACTAAAGCATTTAAAGGTGTACTAGAGATGGGCTGGCAATCCTATTACCGAAGTTGCTGCTGACACTTCCATTCTTTTCAGTTGTGATTTTGTCAAGTAACACAGTCTGAAATTATACACAATAGGTGTGTGAATGACCTCTGTGTGTGTGTGTGTGACAAACTCCAACCAGAATTTCTCAGCTTTGTCAAGACTGCACCCAGAGGAAAGCACCGTATGCCCCTCCCAAAAATTGGGTGACTTTCCTTAAGATGCAATGGAAGAAGGACTTAAAGTCTGGTAAGGACAATTGCAGATTGTGTTAAAGATTAATATCTCATCTCCCCATGAAATTACACTCAAATTTATAAATGTGTATCATCTGAGGAAGCAGGTGAGACTATTATTATTCCAAGTGGGCTTTCCCAGTACTGGATGCTCTCCATGATGAAGAGCAGGTAGTCTGTCCCTCATGTTCATCTCCAGTTTCCTTCATTGCGCACCCATAGCTATGAGTGTATGAAGGAGAAGTGAGGATGCAGAATACAAGAGAAAGACTGGGAAAAAGACTGGCTGAAGTAAAGATTTGCTGTTGGGGAGAAGGGCAAGGGCAGGGCAGGATGGGGGGGGGAGGGCAGGAAAGGGGAGGGGAGGGAAGGGGAGGGAATTGAGAAAAAAGAAAACCAAATGGGGCAAAGGGCTGAGTATCATGGAGAAGCCCATCATCCCCACCTGATACTCCACTCCCACCCCACGGCCTGAGATAGAAACCAATGTTCCTGAATTTCATTATTCTGCTGTCAGGCAGAGGCTAAGAGTTCTCCTGGCAAAAGCAGATTTAGCCCATTTCTCTGCAATTTTCTATTCTGACTATTCCAGCATCTCAAATGGTCAAGATGGGTGCAGTGAACTTAATTCCAAATCTGGTCCACTGAGGTATAACATAGCATATTTCCATTCCTTTGCGTTTTAGAAAAATGAAGACTTGCAAATAAATGCAGAAAAACATACACAAACACCCACATACAAGCCCTACACTCACTAGTTGTTTAAAAACTGGCAATACTTCATTAAAAAAGTGGCAGAATCAGTGTTCAAAAGTTAGGAAACTGGTAGAACAGCTGCTTTGGGAGGTGTGAGGCACCTGCTGAGCCAGAGACGGGACCTTAGCAGCACCCTTGCCTGCTTGTGCCTGACTCTTCCCACAGGCAGAGTCCTCTGGGAGAGGAGAAGGGAGAAAGTTTGATAACTGCGTAACTCCTATTGTTTGGATAGAAAGAGAATGTCCTGACGTGACGTGAAGCACAGCTGAACATCTTATAGCTGCCAGTCAGCTGACCCTGAAGTCACCGGAGCTCTGCTATGAACATGAAGGGTGTAATACTGGTCAAATACTCTGAAAAAATATAGTTCTAGGTGTCCCAAGCAGGACACCCAAAATTACTGAAAACCTGATTTTACAACGCTTTAGTTGTGTTTGCAAATATGGACAATACAAACTTCCTGCTCCAGAGTATTACTGAGAATTTCTTTACACTAAAACACTGCTGGGATGAGGAGCACAGAGAATCCTATAAAGAAGCAAGGTTAAACAACATGCAGTAAATACAACACAGAAGCTCCCAGGGTGAACACCTGATTATAAGCGTATGAAATGAGACTCACACAGAGTAAGGCATAAAGTTTAAAACATACTATGTGAGCGAATCATTAATATTGTATTAAAGCATTTTTGGAAAAGGTATGTTACTTTTGGCATGTCTACACTTTTGAGAATGAGGTCTTGGAATCTTAATAATGTTCTCTAAAAGTAGCGTTTATGGATGGTAATATAACACATGGACATAAAAGGCCAGATGGACTCCAAACAATCTTAATAATATATATATATTTCTTCATGCTTACATGCTTGTCTAAAGAACTACAACTCTTCTGGTGCTATATAAATATTTAATAATGATAATTTAGAATATACTGATATACTATTGCGTCTGGGTATTTTACATCCTTATTCCAGACTTGCTTTAGTTACATGCCAGCTCTGCTGGATTCATTGAGCATGTTCATGAGAGTAAGCAATTAGTACTTGGCTTCATTAGGTTTATATTTTGATACTTTCCACACTAAAGGAAAACATGACATTATGGGCAGAATTTAAATAATTGCTTAAAAGTTAAGAAAATGCTCCAGTGCTTTTCTGACTAACAACAAATTTAAATATATGCACAAATGGCTTCATGCACTGGACTGATCAGCACTCTTTTTTTTTTTCTACAAGCAAACCTCAGAAAATGCCATAATATACTTTTTTCTCTTTCCAAAAAAATAAAACCAAAATAAAATCTCAGATTTTTTATATGTGCCATTTCAAAATTAAGCTATATAGAGTCTTATGTAAACAGTCCATGATGTTCTGAATAATGACACCCAAGTTATTTTCACAAGTGAAAAGTTGGCTTCATGCATTTCTTCAAAACATATTGGAATATTTTGGGCTTTTTAGACCTATCTTTAGCAATAAGCAGGCTATTTAAAAAAAAATTTGTTTGTGTGCACATGGTACCCTTTCTGAAGGCAATGAGTATCTCTAGAACCAAACAGCCCTAAGACAAAAATTAAAGGTACCCTGTAAATTGCTTTAACTAAATGCAGTAGTATTTATGATGGTAGCTATAAAATGAAAATGTGTAAGACACAACCCCCCAAAATGAATGAGGTAACACCCATATTTCAGACTTTTAAATTCAGAACAAACACCGACCAAATACTAAGATAATGTAGAAAGACGCATAAGAGGTCCTTGTATGGCTAATCCTATAGTCTTCCCCTGAAAATGTGTACAAATTAATATAATATAATATAATATAATATAATATAATATAATATAATATAATATAAAGTATAGTGCAGGACCAACCACACCAAAAACAAAACTAACAGAAAGTTCTACTCGCGTCATATGTGCCAGTCCTTCATACTGCGACCTTTACTTCTAAAATTAATTTTATTTATGTAAAACCAAAATACATCTAAATTTGTTTTGATAGACCCAAACCAAGTGATTCCAACTGGTATGATTCTGAAGTTGGTCAATTGGTTTTCACATTGACACAGTGCAATAATTTCACATTCTTCTGAATATTTTAAATCCTATTACAAATTTGAAAGAGTCTGTTACAAAATTATGGGCACTGAGAATGTTTGTAGAAATCAATTTAGAAAGCTGTTACTAGCTGTGTACTGGGGATACACCGGTGTGTTCCAGTATAAGACCCCTATGGTGACCTATGCTGTGCTCACACAAACTGCTTGCTGGATGTAAAACAGAAATTCACATTTTCTTATGAAAATTTTCCATGTGAGCTGAGCTTGACTTTTTCTGTACTGTGATTGCAAGGTAAAAAACAGTACTTAAAAAAAAAAACAAAACCAAACCCAGGTGTTTCGTGTATTATATGTTTTTTTCCCTTACTGCTAGAGCAGTGACTGCCTGGCGTGGCATGTTTGTTTTATTGAAGTCTTTTTACCGGTATCTCCTTTGTCTGTTGAACTGTGATTAGAATCCTGGACTGGAGAAGCGCTGTCTCTATGACCAGAAGGGAAAGGATATTTTTTCATGGAGAGATGACTGTGTTTATTGAGCATTTGCACCTTAAACCTAAGTTTAAGGCCATAACAAACAAGGCTATTTGCACTAAATATGATGGTGCTCAGCACCATATAAATGCTGAAAACGATTTGCAATATGTCACTATATATGTGTGTGTATGTATATACATTATGTGTTACCTTGGATACAAGGCTTGCTCTGTAGGCAGCTAACTGCTTCAGATATTCCTTCTTGGCAGCTTCAGTTTTCTTTTTGTATACCTAAAAACAAAGAGTGTCACATTGGTAAATTAATCTGGTTTTGTTTTTATATATCACCGGTGTGTCTCATGCATCTTCATAAAGTCTTTCTAAGTAAACAGCCTTTCCTCCTCATATTGCTTAAAGAGTGAAATAATAAACATCAAATATTTTTAAGAAAATATTGTTCCAACTGTGAAACACCCTTTAACTACCCAGCAGTACTGAAAAAACAATATCCCTCATAGCATCTCAGGTTTAATTGTTCAAAGTGAAGCACGGGGAGTACTTGCAAATGGGACCTTTCAGGACAGGGGAAGGCAGGCGTGGGCCTCTCCACTGGCTTCCATGTGTGACGTGAGTTAGAACCCTCTGGGGAAGATGAGAATGTGCAGAAAGACACTTGAGCTAAATGATGGCACCACACAGATCAGCCAAGAGGCTTTCTCTCTTCCCCAGATAAACTGTTGGGGGCAGTCAAAGAAGCTTCATGGAGCTGCTAAAGATAATAAATGTTAGTCATTATTCCAGTCTTGATCCCGTATCGGTCTAATTAACTTCTCAGGAGCATGGATCTATTTCTGTACATTTCTCTCAACTCACCAAATTATTTTAATGTGGCATGTGCACAATCTCATAATAGATTAAAGAGCTTGGAGAATCACTTCAATTTTGCCCAGATTTCAATATCAAAGATTATCTGCAGGGTTAGGCAGGACCTCATAGCACTACAGTAACATGATGTTAGAAAAGTGTACGTAGATATTGAAGGTCAAAAGTTTTCAGGAGGAGAACCAGTTTCTGACCTGTGAAGCCCAGCTAATGACTTGCTGTCAGCCAAGTCAGTGACAGGTTCAGGAACAAGTCATAATTTCTCTTTGCAAATATTATCATGAGTTTCTCACCACTTCATGGTTGGTTTTTTTTTTTTTTTTTCTAAAAGGGTAGACTTAGGAGCCATGCAAGCAACTTGGCTTCATGTAACTAAGCAGCACTGACTCCTAGCCTTCCATGTTGCAGGAAAAAGCTTAAAAAACATCCAAACGGAAGGTTTTAAAGTAAGGGAGACAAATAAAGGGAAAGACATTTTCCTTTTTATATTTCTTTTATATTTCATAATTTTTAAGTCATATGCCCAGGGCAGAGATTAATTCATGTGTTTGTGGCAGTTGGGATTCACAATATTATACAAAACGGAACTGCAGCTTTGAGTCTCTGCTGTCCACTTCTGCAGCCAAGTGCACAACCTGGGCACCTGTGGAAAGCCTCCATGAAGACATTAAAGATTGTCCACCTTCCCACTCCACACTGCCTAGTTAATTGGGGTATTGGTTCGAAGGTGGAAGATGGGCAAAACTATTTATGACAATTTTGGGGTGTTCCCCTAAATTCCACAGCTGAAAAACACACATGTACATCTACGCCCCAGAAGGGCAAACTTAATGACACTTTAAACTGATCTCTTTTGATCTTCCAAGGCTCTAGTAAAACCAGAGCAGTCCTGTAATGGAGAGGACCTGGAAGCAGAGTGAGCACATGGAGGACAATAGAGTTGCGGACTACAAAGGGAGAGGGGTAGTGTCAGGCTGCAAGGATCCAGTACACCATCATTTTTATAAAGATTGTGCTCGTGAAACATTTTTTGTTTCACTGAGGCTTTGCTTTCAGGGACAGAACAATCCTCAGATACGGGCTGGCAAAACTCAGAGGCTGCCTAAAAGGATTAAAGATTTTGCTTCCCAGGGAAGCAAAAGATCATAATGGAAACCGAGAAGTCTTAGGCTTCTAAAATTGTAAATATAAAGACAGAGAGGAAAAAAGATTGGTTTTAGCTGTGCAACTCTATCTGTGCACCCTTGTAATTTCTCCAGATTAAGATAAATATATAGCGTTGGCTGATCTCCCATTGTTTTGCAAAAAAAAATGGTAGCAGTTTGCTTTTTAAGCTGTAATAACTTGTGATTATTAGGGAAATGTAATGTTTGTTTTGAAAATGAATAAAAAATTAGTCAACAATATGTTCCTAGCTGCTAAAATGAATTTAGCTTGACCTACAGAACAAAGACCAAGTTATACCGCTTTGTATATTGCAACGCCTCTGCATCATTCTGATAGCCAGTTTAAAAAACAGAGCTGAACAAAGAGTTTCACACAGAATAATGCTCTTCAAAAGATCATGTATCTACTGCTTCCACGTTGGGTTTTATTTTGCATTACACAAATATAAAAAATACACACTCCTGCTGTGCTCTTACAGTCATGGCATATTGGAAGAGTCCTCTGGGACCTGACTTTTCCCTCAAATAGTCATATTGCACAAGGTTACCTCAATAACATGAAGCTAACAACTCTGTAAACCTCCATCTAAAACATCACTGCTTCCTAGGAATGTTATCATACAGCTGTTCTTTAATTATTTCCTACCTATACATCTACCGTGATGAGTGTACATATGGTCTTGCCCTCTTTACTTTGGTCTTCTGGTGAGCCAATAATAGTCACGTGACCACTATGTCTTCCATGGTAATATAAACATTAACCATAAAATACAAGGTCATTATATTAAAAAAGTCCTTCCTAGATGGGGAAAGGTTTTTGATGACCCCAGTCTGCTTCGATGTTTTGCATTGGCCAAAATGGTCCTTGCAGGCTGGCTTGCCTGGTGGGTGGTCAACTCACCCTTCTTTGTCCTTGTAAGGGCCTCGGAGGACAACAGCTTAAGCTCTCACTGTCTGTATGCTGTTGTCCTTTTGAAGATGCCCACTGTTTAGGTCAGCATACAAGCGGGTTGATGATCCTCACGCTAGTTTTGGAAATTTTGATTGGTCCTGGCTTATACAAAAAATTAGGGTAAGTTCGGCCTCTCTGGGGAGTTCATTTTCATGAGTACCAACAAGGTTGGGCTGTCAATATTTTTCTCTGAAAGCAAATGGACGTCACCCTGACAGTGGGTACTAGTTCACTGACTTTGTGCTAGACTGGACTTGTACTGGAGGCTTGTGAAGGCAGGGCAGGTGGGGAGCGTCCTCAGGATTTGTAGCAGCACCTCAAACAGGTATGCGCAAGTCAGCAGCCACTCCCAATCTCTTTTTTTTTTTTTTTTTTTCATCTGTAAGAATTTTTAGCCCTCCGGCTTAAATAGTTTTGTGTTGTAGTAAATATAAGAGTTGCATCCTTGCGGTGCTTTTGGGGAGGAAAAGAGCTTGTGTTGTCATTCAAGTGAGCTCTAGAAAATGGCTGAAGCTGTTTTGAGTTTCATGCTTAAGACAGTGCCAAATTTGGAAACACATAATTTCCAACAATACATTTAATATTTTTCCTGCAACAAGAAGCAGGCTTCTGATCTGTTGCTTATCTATAGTGAATAGTGGCATTATTTAATTTTATTTTTAACATCTCAGAAATCTCTTATAAGGTCATTTTCCCCTCCTCCGTCAAGCAAGCAACAATTATTAAATAAGTAACTTGACAGGAGCATATACTTATGGAATTAAGTCATTTCTAGCTTGCTTTAATTCAATTAACATGATAATTGAATGTCAACTGATTGTCATTCAGGCAGTAAAGGCCCATTCCGATTCAGCAGCAGATTTGTTTCCTTACACAATATTTTATTTTCTATATTGTCTCAGTTGTGGAAATTGAATGTTGGCAGAAAAAAACCCCATAATTTCTGTGTAAGCAGGGTGGGTCAGCTTAATTTATTGTTATTCTCTTCAGCTTGTTATAGAAACCCCAAAACACCAAGATTACATTCATTCGTCTACAAATGGAAGCTGTTGGCATTATTTTCCTACTGTGCTTCATGAATGCAAATTTACACAGCATAATACACAGGTTCTTAGTTTACTATTTAATTACATTTCCAAAGTGCACTCAGTAAGGTAACTTCAAGTTCCCTCACACTGTTTAGCAAAGCATGCAGCAATACAGATGATAGTTTCCAAAAGAAGTGAGTATCAAACTCTACCTTGTACACGGAAGTCTATAAAATAGCATTTGAATTAGCCCACCAGGGAAAACGAATGCCTTGGGCTCCCGCACTGTGAACATACCAGCCTGGTACCAACCCCCAGGCCATTGCACTGTCACCCTTTAGCTCAGGTTCCCTGGGCTGACCGTACAGGTGGGCTACCAGTGCTGTAGCAACCTACATCGAGGGCTGAGTTCTTTTTATTAATGTGATATGCATGCTTAAGCCGAGTGCCCCAAAGTTTCATTTGGAGATAGAGGGGTTGTGGCTTATATGGTTAGCCACAAGCACTCACAAATACTAGATTTACCAAATTAAAACCACAGTAGTATATCCGCACTTCTGTTTTATGATGCCAACTTCTGGCCATGTTTTGCTTTATGTATTTTAACTGCTGCTTAGGTTCTTGTCTTCCTGGATCATAAATTCCTTGAGGCAGGATTTGTGTCTCCTATGCTCCTCTACATGTTGGATAATATGAAACTCATCATTGATATATGTAACTGAACTATACCTGTATTGCCTTGAGCCAAGTTTTTGTTCAGATTAGTTATCTTTTCCCAATGAACTTCCTCTCAACTTGCTTCTGGAGGATTATCAACACATCACAACTCACTCCTACCTTGTCCCATGTGGCTTGCGCCCTTGTTCCCTTAGGGGAAGAGATCTCCCTCCCCCAGTCATCATCACAAGAGCCAAAACAGGCACTCAAACATCTGCGAACACTTCCTCAGTTTCGACTATCAGGTGCTAATGGAAGAAGGCACCACTGACTACAGTCCCCTTTGATACTAGAGTCTTGGAGACAGTGAGTTAAACTGACCGATGCTCTTAGGAGAAAAAGAGACTTTCATAATTTGTGCCTCATGGTAGTCTGAAAAAGCTTTGTGTCTCCTAGCTGACAAAGCACATTACAAAGAACCGTGCTACTTCCCTGGCTTTGCCTAAATAGCTGGTATGAGGGTGACAAAGAAGGGGAAGCTTTCAGTTTATCTTGTGGATGTCTCCTTAGAGCTGACACTTGCAAGCATGCTATATTTGTCTTTTT